TTTTTATACGATTGATTATTCTATCATTTTGATAAATTAGTCTATAATTTGTTTTTAAAACATTTTTAAGCTCAATATAAAATTATATTTTCATAATTTAACGATAAAATAGAATATCGTAAAATATTAAACAACTAAATCGATAACAAATAAAAAATTAAACTTATTTTGTTTATTCACTTCAAAAAAAAATTAAAAGATATCTCATTAATTTTTTTAATTTATTGCCTTTTTTATTGTTAATACTTTATATCCTTAAATAAAAATAAAAAAGAAAAAACTAAATAGTAAAAAATTTCAATTTTTAAGCGGTAAAGGTGATCTGAAAAAGAGAAAATTTAGAAAAAACAAAGAGAAGAACGTTTTTTTAGTTGTAGAGTGAAATCGCAAAAACAAAAAGAAAAAAAATAATATATATATATATATATATATATATATATATATATATATATATATATATATATATATATATATATATATATATATAAAGTAACGGACAGAGGGACGTTAAGGTTTGTATATGCTGGTGGAGCTGTTCGTTATGGCTAATTAATAAAGTGGGAAATAAAGAAGAAGGGAAAAACAAAATATGATTTATTCATAATATAAAAATAGGATGGAAATTTGACCAAGTTAGTTAATGGTTGAGTTTAGATAATATATAAAAATAAATAAATAAATAAACAAATTTGAAAGTAAGTGAAAGTGGTCAACAATAGAATAAAAGTGTTAATTAAATCTAAACCAGTATAGTGGCCTCTTGCCCAAAGCTTATTATGCTTTTGTTTTAAAAATAGTTTTTGATTTTTTAGTTTTTAAAATTAAAAAAACTTATTTAGTATTTGTTTTGTCAAAATAGTTTTTATTTTTTAGCTTTTAATATAAAAAATAAGAATGATAAAAAGTATTTTTTATTTTTCCTTACTAGATATAAATGTTTATTTTTAATAATCATTTATTTCATAGTAAAATTATTTTTAAATTTTTTATTCAACTTTTCGTATTATTTGCTTTTAGATACAATATCATAACCAAAATCAACGATAATGCAAATGCTTGTGCCTAAAGGTTAGAAATATTATCTTTTTCTCATTGTAATTTTAAAATATAAAAAATATAAATATATAATTATTGAAATTTTAGTATTCTTTTTGTCATTGTCAGTATTTTTTTACTTGGTTCTGAAATTTGTGTGTTATGATAAATGATTTTTAAATTTATTTATTAAACAATTAAAAATTATTTCAAAATTATATTTTAGCCATGATAAAATATGTTTTTTATTATATAATATTGATATTTCACAATTATAAAAATCTAAAGTTTCCTGTTTTCACATTCCTGGTGTATTCTGATGTGAGTTTCTGTTTTTATTTTTTAGATGCTACTTGAAATATTTTTAATGAAAATTCCTCTTTGTTACTCGTTTAATTTCACACCATTAATATTTTTGAAATTTACTCTTTGATATTACATTTATTTTATCCAACTTAACAAAGTATTAAATCTTTTAATAAAAGTAATAAAATTTCAAAAGTGGTAAAAAAATTAAATATATAATCAGGTAAAATTATGTTTTATCAACAAAAAATTAAAATATTTATAGAAATATTCCTTTTATTTAAATTTAAATTCAACCACTAATATAACCATATACGTTTAGTTGAATAAATTAACTACTTTATGTTTTTAACTAAATGTTTCAGTTATAGTTTTTAATTCAAGGTACATTTGAATTAAATTAAAGTAATATTTTACAATTTAATTTCAATCTATTTTAATATTACCGTAAAATTGTTAAATATTATCTTTACAAAATTAGTAAAAAATTTTACAATAAAAATTGTCAAAATAAAGAGACATTATATAATTTATTTATAATTTGAAACTGTCTCTCGTATTTATAAATTGATAACATAATTTCTTAAATAAAACACACACTACAAAATTGTGATTATGTATTGATAAATACAAATATAATTTAAACACGATACAATCAAAATTACAAAATAATCTTTAACCATCACACTTATTTATATTTAATTGTGAGTTAATTAAAAAATATGCAATATTATATTTAAATATAATTAATATTTTAGTTTTTGGTTCTTCATTATCAAAACTTTGTGGTTGAGAAAAAAAATTTAAAATATAAAACTACTGATTTTTATCAGCTATTTTTTATTGGTTTGATTTTTAACATCTCATACTAAAACTTTACCAGCTAACTTATTTACTTTTTTATTTTATCATTATAAATTAAATATGTGTCGAAAAATTTAGAACAAATCACATATCATTTCAACTATTAACTAATATAACCTAACTTTAAATATAATAATTAATATTTCAATTTTTGTGAAACTTGAAAACTCTAATTTTTTTTTTCGAATATGTTTTAAGTATTTATTCAATACCCTATTATCAAAACAAAAATGTATGCCATAAAGTTGTCTATTTATTAAAATAAAATCACTTTTGTAGATTTATATAATATTGTTTGATAAAATCTTTGAAATACTCATAAACATATCCACGTTGTGGATGCTTTTGACCTTATAGTGTGATATGCTTACATAAACCTCTTGTGAAAAAAAGAAATAAAAGAATTGGGTCGAATCCAATCCAAGAAGATATAGTGCCACACAACATGTAAAAATGTCAAACACTTTATTTCTTAGGAACTTTTTAGGTGTTGTGTCCCTCTATATTCTCCACCCTCATTGGCATAGAGTGAATCCGTCACCCACTAGTAATATAAATCTCCACCATTTTTATTCTAAACCAATGTCAAAGCTTCCAAATAGAGCACTAATATTCCAATATCTAGTTTAGTTGGTTGTTGAAGACGATACCAAAAAGAAGAAAAAGACTTTTTCTCATTAATTACAATCTATTTGGCATATACGCATATCTATATAATTTGGTCATCATTCACCATATTTCTTCTCAATAATCTTCATCACATGAAAATTCATTTGTATTGGCTCTTCAAGATAAAATAAACAGTCAAATTTTGTTTTCCTTTCATTTCTTTATGATAGTAAACTTTAACTATTTCATACCTCTTTTTATTGAAAGATATATGTTCTAATTGAAGGTTGGTGATTAAATTCATTAAATATATGTTAATGAAATGAAGGCTAATTGATTACATAAATATAGGTTAATGATTTTGATCTTGTAGGGTTAATGTGAAGGGATGAATGAGAGAAGAGAGTATTAGGGTTGCATGATGCATTGCTCATGTGGCTTCTGACACTATATCCACTCTAAAAAAATGTTCCTCTTCTGAATGAATAAGAATGACAATAACAATAACAATAAGCTTCATTCCACAACAATGGTGGGTCCTAGGAACCAACACTCCATGTTCACCTCTCACATTTTACCTTTCCCTCTCCACCATACTCACCAACATTTTTGCTCTCTGACGCCAACCCCACAACTTTCATTGCAATATATATGTGGAAAGGAAACATAAACTAGTGTGAGTGAACTTGCATATGCATGCATATTATTTTTCTTCCTCTTTGTCCTTTCTATATAAATACCTAAGCTAGGTTTCTCTTTGCTATCAATTGCAAGAATCTTTAGTTTTTTTCTTTTTCTATTTTTATCTGTCTCTCCTTTAGTTGAGTGCTTGCTTTTAACTCAGGTGTGGCTAATATTTGGCCAGACACATCCATTCTATTTTCAGCACATTTCTTTACTTTATTTTTTCAGTTCCAATGCTATCAAACTAGCATTATTGCATTATATATTTGTTATTGATTTCTTCCTTTCTTGAGTCTTGATAACTCTGCCAACTTCAAGTTGAATGATATATGAGTGCTCTCAATTTTTTTTTGTTACCAGAAAAAAAAAAGCTTTATATCATTTTACTAATTGATGAATTAATAAAATGAAATTTTATATTTTTAATCCTTTTAAAATTTATTTAACTATTATCTTAAGAGCAATGCTTGTATGAATTTTTAATTTTAAATGTAACCATTTAATTCATGATATATATTTTATTCTTTCGTATTATCGAACAAATTAGCTGTGAGTGATTTTTAAATTGAAGAAAAGAAAAACATAAATGTTATCACATATAATTATTAAACATGTCTTATGATTAATTATACCATTTTATGGTATGCATGGATGAGGTGAAAGAGATGTTAGAAAGAAGAAAGATGAAATGAGTTAGTTAAATAAAGATGATGAGTAAAAAAAATTATGAAAATGAAAGTTAAATACAAGATAATTGATCATGTTATTTTTTAAGTGTTTTTAAAAGTAAACACTTAAAATTAATTATATAATTAATTATTTTTTGTAAATATTTTTATATAATAAATGAATAAAATAAAAATAATAGTAAGTAAAAATAAATAAAAATTAGAACACAAAATAAATTCTATTAGATGTGACATAGTTCTATCATCTAATACCAAACTTTATAGTTTTATAACATTACATTACCATGTCTTATTAATAAATAATAAATTTGACCATATTTTTTTTTCTTGTAAATGTTCCTCGCACTACAACCCTAAATTCGAGGTCACGGTGCATCCAGATATACATGCATATATGTTTGTGTAAATCTTGACCTCTCCCCCTACATCTAATGTTGGAATACTGACACACATGTTCCATACCTAGTGAAATTCCCCCTCCCCAACATCAAAGAATCTAATTTATTTCTTCAAGATATGCTCATATTTGTGACTCGACATGGCATCGATTCTCTTTCTCAAAAATAATCTCCCATGAACAACCCACATTTTATTTAAACAAACTAGAACTCATTATACCATGTTATTGGATAACTAAAAATATTTTCAAGATAATTTGAACTCTGTGTGGATGAATAGTAAAATTTTAATTATTATAAAAAAAAAACACTTATTTATATGGTTTTGGTAGTCCTTCTGCTGCAAGCCGTTAATTTGTAGTGGAAAAGCTGAGAAGAATGTGGTGGATGTTGTAGGTATAGAGCAGTGGAGTGAATGGCTGAAAGAGTAGAAGGAGAGTTGCTGAAGGTGGTGGTGTTGGTGTTAATACTAGTGATGTTGGGAGCGAAGACAGAGGCAATGAGCACAACAAGGGGCCATAAAAGGAGTAAAGATGAGTCCTCTGGTTCTGGTGAAGGGGATTCAATGAGCTTTTGTTTGAGTTGGAGATTGGCAGTGGAGGCAAACAACGTGGTTGCATGGCCAACAGTGCCACCTCAGTGTTCCCGATATGTGGAGACTTACATGATCAATGGACAGTACGAACGGGACCTGGATTTGATAGTGGAGGAGATATTGGGATATCTCAACCAAACTTTGCTCCCTCCAGATTCCATGGATGCTTGGATTTTGGATGTTGATGACACTTGCATCTCCAACATCTATTATTACAAAACCAAGAACTATGGGTATGTATGTATGCAAATAATTTCTTACACACTCCACCTTTGTTTCCTTGGTCCAATTTATTTTCTTCACTCCTTCTTAGTTGAGTTCTTTTAATCCTCCATTTCTTATCTTAAGATATTTGTTCACTCTCCTCTTATTTATATCATGATAATATTATTAAAGTGATTATCAAGTTGGGTATGTATGTATGAATATAAGTGATCTTAACCTTCTAATATCGAAAATAAAATCGTGACGAAATATCTAAACACAGTTTTAGTGAAAACAAGAATTTGTGCCATATTTGCTAATTGTGTTTTGTTATAAGTTGAAATGTGCAGGTGTGATCCTTATGACCCATCAGCCTTTAGGAAGTGGGCCATGAAAGGAGGGTGCCCTGCAATTCCTTCCGTACTAAGGCTGTTCAGCATTTTAGTGGACAAAGGATTCAAAGTATTTTTACTGACAGGAAGAGATGAAGAAAGTCTTGGTGAAGTTACCAAGAACAACTTGCACAATCAAGGATTTATTGGCTATGAAAGGCTTATTTTGAGGTAAGACAAGAAGTGTAGTGTTGCATGATGATGCGTAATTGAATGATTGAAGAGATGTTGAGACTAACAGAGAAGCATGTGGATGAAACTTGCAGGAATGCAGCATACAGAGGGAAGAGTGCAATGAAATACAAATCTGATGTAAGAAAGCAGTTAGAAGAGGAAGGTTACAGGATATGGGGGAATGTGGGAGACCAGTGGAGCGACATTAAAGGAGATTATTTGGGGAATCGTACTTTCAAACTACCTAATCCTATGTACTTTGTTCCCTAATCTTATCCTAATTATCTGTTAATTATATCACTCTTCAAACACTCCAAATCTCAACTCTTGTGTCAACAATAATGCCATTTGGTGTAAAATATTACCACTTTTAATGTAATAGATAATCATAATCTTTGCTATGTATCCAACTCTTTACTATTATTTTTTTAGTTTTTCACTTGCATCTTCGTTCCAAATTGAAACAATCCAAGCGTTTGTTATCATCTTTTGTATATCAGAGATGTTAACTTATTTTAAGAATAATTATTGGTAAAATTACTCTTTTCAATGAACTCTTCATACATGTTAAATTTAAGTATTTAAATTGAATATTTTAGATAAATTATATATTTTGCGTAATTTTATTGTCAACAATTAATTATATTTTTTAGAAAAACATATTATAGGTTAGACTGAATTTACTAAATGAACTATAAAACATGATATATTACAAGAATTTATGATGAAGTTAAATATTTTTATCAAAGTATTAATTTTACAGAATAAAACATTTACCTTTAAAATAACCTTAAAAAAAAGTTAAGAAAGCAATTTTAAATTCTTAAAGAAAATTAATTTACAATTTTAATCTCTACTTTTACTGAGAAAAATAGAAATAAAAGTAATTTTGAAAATATCTTACAAGAATATGAGAGTGAATAGATTTACCATTTTAATTTCTACATTTATTGAAAAAAATAGAAATAAGAAGTAACACGAAACAAACCCTTTACCTAATAGAGACGTGAATTGAATTCTCGTATTCGTTCCTTGTTCTGATCCTTCCATCAGCATTACATTCATTCCTCCTCCCTGATTCACAGTTATAATCTCTCTATCACTCATTTTCATCTTCTTTTTCTCCTTCAATATCTTCCAGTTAATTTTCTGTTTCGCTTTAACCATTCCCTCAATTTGATTTTTGCATTGCAGTTACCTGATCCGCCACCGTAAACCACCAGGTACATTCTTTTATCCACAATATCAATTTCACTCTGCTATTCTTGAATGAAAAGTGAACCGTAAACGTGAATGATCCGTTCGTTCTATATTCCAATGCCACGAATCCATTGAATTTACTTTTATACTTCCCGTTATGTGCCGATTTCACGCTTTCACTACCTCTTTTGTCAGTTTTTTGTGTTCGATTTTCCGATGCTTGTTTGATTGCTCATAAGCTGTTTGATTAAATGCCAGTTTAGTTGACTGTTTTCTGATCATAATGAATATTTGCTAGTTGTTTGGTACTGAAATATAACTGTTTTTAATCGTATATGCCACTCATTTTTTTATTTGGTTATTATTTTTTCTCCTTTTTCTAGTCTGGTATGTCATGTCTATCTTTATTTGTTAGTATTATCGAGTTATTGTGAAAGCTGAAAATGTATTGCTTGTTTCTTTCATTATTTTCTCCAATGAAAATAGAACTTCATCTTATATGAATTTACGTGTACCTGAAACTATGACTTGCACCTATGACTTGCACCCATGAAATTTGGACATTATGTATATTATTTGACTTATAACACTTTGACAAATTTGATACATGCACCTATCTTCGAGGGGGGAAATGTTTCTCTTATTTGTTATTATGTATATATGGTAGCCAAATATTAAGGACATTATCCACATTACGTTTATGTGGCGTGAAATTGTTGTATGGTCATTGACTCATGCAGTTTGTTATTTTCATGGACACTCTCAATTGTAGTGAATTTTTTATGATATTTATTGATCCATATCATTTCTGACAGCTTCTTTTCTGTTTAACTTGAATATGGATGAATTTGGGAGAAAACATCATCTCCTGTCAGAGTTTTTTTACTTGTTTTTGGTGAAAAAAATTTCTTAGTGGAACTCAATTTCTTTCCTTTTGTTGATAAGCTTGCTATGGTGTGCTGTACAATTTTCTATTAGGAAATGAAACTAATGGCTATAGGCCATAGATGATATTCTGTTTCACTCAATCTTTTATTTTCATGGTATATTGTTGTGATAGTTTAAGGTGTTTCTAGTTGTGCTAAAAAATAGGTAGGATTTTTCATTAAGCATCCGGGAAATAGGTTCAGTTATAAAAGGGATCATTCACAATGTGTGCTCTGCTATGGTTGTAAAAGATGTAATGTATGCTAACACATTTGAGGTTTGGGGTAGTTATCATTTATGAATTGCATTTGGTAATATAAACTTAGCACAATTTAGTGGTAATATCAATCATTTTCCTTCAGGAGATCATGTTGGGTCTTTCGAGGGAGATTTACTGGGGAAAACAACACCAATGAAACAAGAGTCCAACCTACATAAAGATTGATACCATTCTCAACCCAAAACCTTAAGGGATTAGGTTATGGGTCATACTTCCTTGTATGTTACTTAATTTTCTTTTTCTTATTCTTATCCTATGTGAGACTTAGAATTTTTGAAGGGGATTCACCAGGGAAAAACACAACCAATGAGACATGAGCCCAACCCACATAAGGATTCACACCACTCTCAACTCAAAACCTTAAGACATTAGGTTATGGGTCATACTTCCTTGTATGTTGTTCAACTTTCTCATTCTTACCCAATATGAGACTTAGAATCACACTTGTATTTCTTAACCGATCATTCTACTAATCATTCCAAAAATAACTCCAGTCTTAGAAAAGATAACAGATGGGTTAATTATTACTTGCTCCCAGGTGCCACTTTATGTATGCTTAACTCTTCGATAATCTGTTATTATCTTTGGTGTTTGACTACAAACAGGGACAAAGCCAAGGAAGGGATGGTCACCCCTAAAATCTTTATTTCTCTTTTAAAATTTTATATATATATATATATATATTTGAAAGTCTTTTTCTTTAAAAAAATTTACAATGCCCCCCCTCAAATTTAATCTCTACCTTTGACTGCAAGTTATTGACCATTGTTGATAGGAGCACATAATTACAAGGAAATGTATCCTCTTCTTTTTGTATGTTTACTGAAACATGGACTTTCCTAATCATATTATTTTACATGAAACAAACATCACACATTACTTAGTATCCCTTGGTGTCATTATTGGTTATTTTAATTTGGACGCGTCATATTGAGAACTTAGAAAACATAGTAATTATTCTAATTTGATCTTATAAATAGTTTTGGTACATCATCATATTTTCCTTTGCCCTATCAAATCAGTATGTTTAGTGCTGATTTTTTGTAGTAATTGTGTTGTTTATTATCCTTTAAAACTTCGTACCAAAATTCTGAGTATAACAGGCAAAGATCATGTTTTCGTAAATTATGGTTACTGTCTGCATTTGTGATAACTTAGGAGCACACTGTGTATAGATTTAATTTATTTGAAATGTTGTATCTATTAAGAGAGGAAAAGCACATATGTTCATTTGCTGTGCACATGAATTATTCCTTTCTATTAAATGCAGAGAGAAATGGGATTTGCAGGAGCTCTAAGGAACATTGTTCGCCCTCTCTCGCTTGCATCATCAAGAACCTTACCTTCTCGAATCTCCACCAATGCGGCACTGTTCTGTCCTGCTTTGCCATCTCCCTGCAAACCTCCCCAATGGATTCTTCCCCTCCAGAATCACTTCCACAGCTTGACAGACAGCATGACAGACACTCGTTTCCCAAAGAGACGGCCTTCTGACAAACCTCGTCGAAAGAGGGCCACTTTGAGACCTTCCGGTGCGTCCATTTTTGTGTTTTAGATTTTGAACTTGACTTGAATTTTGAGACACTTTTGGTGATTCAGGGCCTTATGCTTGGGTTCAATATACACCTGGCCAACCCATACTTCCAAGTAAGCCCAATGAGGGGAGTGTCAAGAGGAGAAATGAGAAGAAACGCATCAGGCAGCGCCGTGCCTTTATATTGGTGCGCTCTCCCTTTACCCTGTACAAATTAAAATTTGGAGACTTCATGTTGGGTGTGCTTTATCTTTACATTTAAAGAAAACTGTAACCATTTTCTAAATATAACTGTTGAATATAGGGTTAATTTCCCTTATGTATTTACCACACATAGGGCAGTGTATTTATAATAAAGAAAGGTACTCCTCAAAAGAGTAACAGAATACAAATAGGGTAAATAAAAAGATATTATTTGATATTGTGATTAACAATATCTAACAATATCTCAACAATATCAAACAATATCAACTAATATCTAATCATATCTAACACTCCCCTCAAGCTCGGAGCATACAAATCGTATGTGCCTAGCTTGGTACAAAGATAATCCATCCTAGGTCCCCGTAAAGACTTAGTGAAAATATCTCGCTAATTGATCACATGAGTTAACGAACTCAGCCTCGATGTCTCCGGACATAATCTTTTCCCGAATAAAATGGCAGTCAATCTCAATGTGTTTAGTCCTCTCATGAAAGACAGGATTAGAGCTTATATGGAGAGCGACTCGATTGTCACACACTAGTGTCATTTGAGTGACATCTCCAAATTGTAGCTCTTTAAGCAATTGCTTGAGCCAAATAAGTTCACAGGTAGCCGAGGCCATAGCTCTATACTCGCTTCGCACTCGGATCTTGCCACAACACTTTGTTTCTTACTTTTTCATGAGATCAAGTTACCACCAATGGAAACACAATACCCGGATGTAGATCTTCTATCGGAGGGAGATCCTCGCCCAATCAGCATCCGAATAGCAGACAACTCTTGTATGATTATGGGAGTCATACACCAAACCTTTTCCAGGAGACTTTTTGATGTACTTCAATATACGGATGACCGCATTCCAATGATCTTGACAAGGAGAATTGAGGAATTGACTCACCACACCGACTCGCAAAGGAAATGTCGTGGCGAGTAACTGTAAGATAATTTAATTTTCCAACTAATCTTCTATACCGTTCAGGATCCGACATTGGCTCCCCCGATTTGGCAAGAGTTTGGTATTAGGATCCATGAGTGTGTCAACAGGCTTTGAATTCATCAACCCAGCTTCCTCCAAAATATCCAATGCATACTTTCTTTGAGATATAACAATGCCATCGGTAGATTGTGCTACCTCAATACCCAAGAAATATCCGAGTTTGCCAAGATCTTTGGTTTGAAAATGGTGGCAAAGGTGTTGTTTCATCCGAGAGATGCCATGATGGTCACTACCCGTAAGAACAATGTCATCGACATACACTATCAAATAGATACATCCAAGCATTCGAGTGACTGTAAAAGACCGAGTGGTCTCGCCTCACTTCTAGTCATGCCAAATTGTTGAACAACGCCGCTAAATTTTCCAAACCAGGCCCTAGGAGACCGTTTTAGGCCATATAAAGATTTGCGAAGACGACATACCAATCCAGTAAGACTCCCCCGAGCAACAAATCCGGAGGTTGCTCCATATAAATCTCTTCTTGCAAATCGCCATTCAAGAAAGAATTTTTGACATCCAAGTTGATAAAGAGGCCATTGTTGAATAGCAGCCCATGGCAATGAATAAACGAACGTAAGCCATCTTTGCCACTAGAGAGAAAGTATCACCATAATCCAACCCAAAAATTTGGGTATAGCCTTTGGCTACAAGGCGAGCTTTGAGGCGATCAATAGTACCATCAGGACCAACCTTGATAGCGAAGACCCACCGCAACCAACAACAGATTTTCCAGATGGTAATGGGACAAGCGTCCAGTGTTCCACTAGTCCGAAGAGCACCGAGTTCATCTAGCATGGCCTCGACGCCAACCAGGGTGGGCTAAGGCTTCGTAGACAGATTTAGGAATAGACACAGAAGAAATAGACGAGAGACAGGTATAAAATGGTGAAGAAATTCGATGATAACTTAAAGTAAGTATAATGTGGAGAAGGATTACGAGTAGAACGCGTACCTTTACGAAGGGCAATAGGAAGGTCGACTCGTGGACTGAACCGGAGGAGGCAGAGTATTTGGCACCGGGAGTGAGTCATGTGGCGTCTGTTGTGGGCGAGGTCTCGCGACTATAAACCCGAAGGGGTGGTGGAGGAGGAGGGGCTAATGGTGGATGGTCCTCAACATAAGGATCAATGAGAACAGGAATGGGAACTGTAGCAGATGGAGACTCAGCAGGTAGGAAGGGTCCTTAAAGTAAAAGGAACACTCATTGAAGGTGACATCTGCAGACACAAAATAGCGATTAAGAGAAGGAGAAAAACACTTGTATCCTTTTTGGGATCGAGTAAATCCTAAGAAAACACATTTGTGTGATCGAGGAGATAACTTATCATGACCAGGATCAAAATTGTGGACAAAACAGGTAGACCCAAAAACCTTCGGAGGTAAAGGATGGAGAGTGTCATGAGGAAATAAAATAGAATGGGGAATTTTGTTATCTAAAACCGAAGAGGGCATACAATTAATAAGATAACAGAAGTAAGAACAACATCACCCCAAAAATGTCGAGGAACCTCACCATGAATTAAAAGAGTACGGGTTGTTTCAATAAGGTGTCTATTCTTGCGCTCACCCACCCCATTTTGTTGAGGGGTATAAGCACAGGAAGTTTGATGAAGAATGCCATGAGAAGCCATAAATTGTTTAAACGAGTTTGAAAGATATTAACGGCCATTATCACTTCGAAAAGTTTGAATAGAGACACCAAATTGATTTTTAATTTCATGATAAAAGTTTTGGAATATAGAAAACAACTCGTAACGATTTTTCATTAAAAATAACCAAGTACAACGAGAGAAATCATCAATAAAAGTAACAAAATATTGAAAACCTAAATTAGACTTAACACGACTCGGGTCCCCAAATGTCGAGTGAACTAAGGCAAAGGGGGATGAAGCACGCTGGGAAACACTACGAGAAAAGGAAGTACGACTATGTTTGCCTAATCGACAGGACTCACACACCAAATTGGACAACTGGGATAAGCTCGGGAACAAATTGCCGTAATTTGCGCAGATCGGGGTGACCAAGCCGAGCATGAAGGAGAGAAGGAGACTCCATAACTGTGCCAACATGTGGAGAAGGTTGAAGATAATAAAGTCCATGTGACTCACATCCGGTGCCAATCACTCTTTGCGAGCTCCTGGTCCCGTAGGGAAACGAAGTTTTGGTAAAAGAGATAACACAATCAAGAGATCGAGTTAGACGGCTAATGGATAATAAGTTAAAGGGGGACCCGGTACATACAAAACATTATCAATGGACAACGAGGGAAAAAGAGTAACCGTTCCAACACCATGAGCTAAAGTTGTAGACCCATTAGCCATTGTAACAAAGGGTAAATTATGAGAAGAAGTGAAAGAGGAAAATAAGGATTTGTTACCAAGTGATGTGATCGGTGGCGCCTGAGTCAAGAACCCAAGGGCCAATAGAAGAAGAGTGAGTCGACCAAGCAAAAGATGTACCTGTGTGGGCAACATAAGTAAGTGGAACCTGGAGGGCTTTCGATCCTCATACCATTGAAGAAAATCATTGAAGATAGCAGATTTGTCCGAAGGTACAGACGAAGGAGGATCCACAACAGAGGATTGTGCGGAAGAATCAGTCTGAGCAATTGCAGCAGATCGACGAGGATAACCATGTAAAGCATAACATTTGTCAATTTTGTGGCCTAGTTTGCCACAATGGTCACACTTGACACGCCCTTTGCCTGACTTGTGAGAGTGATTACGATCATCACGGTAAGAGGCCAAGGCAGATGAATCATTAGAAACTACAGGAGGAATATTGAGAGGTTTACATGGCACCCGCAAAAGGGAGGAACTGGTAGCGGTAAAACTGGGTGTAACAGGGGAACCCAAAATCTGGTCACGAACAGGGGCATATTTATCAGCAAGTCCGTGTAACATCAAAACCATGAAAAACTTTGATCGTTGCTCTAATTCTTGGGCAGGAGTCGAGGCAGGGGGTAATAACTCATTAAATTCATGGAGAAGAGCATGGATCTTACCCACATAATCCGCCACAGGATCCTTATCTCGAGGAGCAATAACATCAAGAAGATTGTAACAAACACCATAAAGACGTTGAGTGTCATTGGTGTATAATAATTTGGCTTGTTCCCAAACGTCATAACATGTGCCATACGATCGAAAAATTTGTTTTAAAGAAGATTGGATGGTATTCTTGAGAACCATACATATATGAGCATCAACTTTCTTCCAACGGACACGATCATTGGAAGGAACATCATCTACCTTGGTAGTAAGATGATCAACATACCCCCGACTCTCAAGCCAAAGTCTAATATCGGATGCCCAAGTTGCATAATTCGTACCATCTAATTTATCAATGGGTAAATTCACATTGACATAATTAGTAAAAACAGATTGCTCGGACCCACCGGAGTCGACAGAGGTAACTTCGAATTGGAAGTGGCAACGGAAGATGCCATGGAGGAAGAGAGAGAAAAACCCTAAAACACCAAAGAGGTCCGATTGGAGCAGCGAGGACAGATCCGGAGAGAGGAGAAGGAGGCGACGCCGGCGCAAAGATCGGCGGCCCGAACGGCGGCGAGACGCGCCGCCACGCGCGGCGGAACGGGAGAAGGTGGCGCGGCTTCGGAGGCGCCTGAGGGAGCGTGGCTGCTCCGATGACCGCGAAACTTCCACGGTGGAGGTCGCACGGAGGAGGCGAGCAAAACCCTGTGCTCAGCGGTCCGAACTGCTACTCTGGTGACGGCGGCGGCGGCGGCGATGGAGGCGGCGACAGCTGCAGGTTCAGTGGCAGAGCCGAAAAAAATCCCAAGAGACCTTAAGCTCTGATACCATGTTGAATATAGGGTTAATTTCCCTTATGTATTTACCACACATAGGGCAGTGTATTTATAATAAAGAAAGGTACTCCTCAAAAGAGTAACAGAATACAAATAGGGTAAATAAAAAGATATTATTTGATATTGTGATTAACAATATCTAACAATATCTCAACAATATCAAACAATATCAACTAATATCTAATCATATCTAACAATAACAATGCATTGAAAAGAGGGGAGGGAGAAACTGGAAATAAGAATGCATTGAAAAGAGGGGGAAGGGAGCAACTGCAAATAGAGCAGGTGAGAGTCACCTTATTTAATGGTGAAGAGAATATACTTACTAGGATAAAGAAGCTACTGTGTTTGTTGTTATGAGAGTCACCTTATTTAACAGGAGATTCACCTTGTTTAATGGTGAAGAGAACACTTTAACTAACGACAATAAATTGATATATAGTCTCAATTTTGACGATAAGTTGGATAGGATTTCTAACTGCATAATTTTTAAATCTGCATGTGAATGCAGTAACTCTTAGCTTGCACCTGTTTCTTTTTTTATCCATGGACAGCACAATTTTTTGAACTATATCCCTTTAGTTCTAACGAGGACTCCACTTTATCATTTAATTTGTACTCTTCACGAATATTGGATATGAAAATTACTATTATATTTGCTAGAAAAGATGGTCTGCAAGTTTTAAATGCAACTGTCTTTGGTGGCAAGTTTATTTGCTATTGAGTGTCAAATGAGATCCATAGAAAAAATAATAGCCAGGACTTCTAACTGCATAAAAAGTCTTTATTTTAACCTTGTTAAAATCTCTAACAAGTGCATGTGAATGCAGTAACTCTTAGCTTGCACCTGTTTCTTTTTTATCCATGGACAGCACAATTTTTTAACTATATCCCTTTAGTTCTAACGAGGACTCCACTTTGTCATTTAATTTGTAATCTTCACGAATATTGGATATGAAAAGTACTATTATATTTTGCTAGAAAAGATGGTCTGCAAGTTTTAAATGCAACTGTCTTTGGTGGCAAGTTTATTTGCTATTGAATGTCAAATGAGATCCATAGACAAAATAATAGCCATAGTAATTACCATGTTGAAATTCAAGTTTTGTAAATGAGATGAACTTTTGTCTATGTTTAACTGAATTATACCATTATGTACTTATTCTTCGAAAATAATTCTTGAATTTATTGTCATTCTGTGACAGTACTTTATCTGTCAGGAGGTGCTTGATTTAGCTATTAAGAATATCTCTTAAGGGAATTTTTAACTAGAATTGTTTAAGAATAGAATTGAATATTTTAATATGGGTTTCACATTTGATTAAAACTTAGAGTTATTTATTTAAATAATTTTCTTCTAATTTTAAGTAATTTTTTTTTCTTCTAAGAAATTCAGATATAGAACTCATAATAAAATATTTATTTTTATTAAGAATAAGCAGTTATTTCTAACAACTCAAAGATGCTATAACGAGGTTAGAGTGATTTTTCTTAGAACTTAGCGAAATAGCAGTGCTGTGTTTGAATTGATTTTTTGTTTTTTCGTAACAAAATGTTTGTGTGGACTCTTGCATACAGGCGGAAAAGAAGAAAAGGAAAGCTCAGCTGCAAGAGGCCAATCGAAAAAAAAATATTCAGAGGGTAGAACGTAAAATGGCTGCAGTTGCAAGAGAAAGAGAGTGGGCAGTAAGACTGGTTGAGTTGCAGCGACTCGAAGAAGAGAAGAAAAAAATCTAATTGAATTTGTTAGGGACCTTATCTTCATTTGGGGACATCGTTGCTGTTCTTGTATTTTCAACATGGTTTGAACGGCTGTAGTTTTTTAATATTTTTTTATCAATTCCCTCCTTGTATGGAGAGAGTAAGCTTTAATTCCTGACACCTCTTTCAACATGGTAAGACATATTAACCATCCGAACTTGTGGATAAATACTAAAGAAAATGAAATGGTTAATTGGATAGAGACAAAGAGAAACGTTGCGGGAAAATAGGAAATAGGAATTCATGAGAGATAGAATTATAAGAGCATATTTCATTCTATTAAAGTATCTTTTTCTATGTATTTTGTTATAAATTTTATGTGTAACAATTTGTTCTAAATAATATTTCAAAAATATTTAATCAGATTAAATATAACATTTTTTTAATATTAAAAAACAATTATTTATTTTTTCTTATATATTTAATTAAATAATACATGCTAAATATTCATATGTTTGATGAATGATTGATTTACTTAACCCATTATATTTATAAATTGAATAATATTTATAAATTATTATGAAGTACTTATTCGTATATCTAATAAAAATTAAAAATATATAGGTAATTCATATCTAAATTAAAATTAATATAAAATATTGTAAGATTTAGGAAATTTAAATTCATATTTATAATTTAATGCATATTAGTTATTTTATTTATTGATATTGTTTTTTTAATTAGCATCCATACAATGTTTTAATGTCAGGAAGTAGATAATCACGTCTGTAATAATTATCATTATCTAACTTTTTTATTATTAGATGCATCCTTCTTTATTAATATAACATTTAACTAATATATATATATATATATATTAAGAATATTTAACTGAATTTCGTTTCACTGTTATAATTAAAAGGTAAATAATCCTTTTTTATATTTGTCTATATAATAATTTGATATAATATTTTTTAATTCATAATAGAAACCTTTATCTTTAATAAAAAAAATTGAATCTTAGTAATTCTAAATCATATATATGTTCGACAATTAAAAGGTAAATAATCCATTTTTATATTTGTCTATATAATAATTTGATATAATATTTTTTAATTCATAATAGAAACCTTTATCTTTAATAAAAAAATTTGAATCTTAGTAATTCTAATTCATATATATGTTCGAAAATGATAAAAAAAAATTGAAAGTATGAATATGAAACTATATTTATTTGAATCGTAATATCCTAATTTTTTTTTCAACTCTTTAACTTTTTCCTTGTTTTTTAATTTTTTTTTTAACCTTTTCATGAATGCAGGTCTAATATTCATGAAAGAACTTTCAGAAGGATACGGACGACTTTTCAAAACAAAAGAAACTTTCATTGATGTTATTTATTTCATATACTTCATTGTGACATATATTTGATTATGAGTGATTTCTTTAAGATAATTTTTGTAACATTTTCAATAAAAATGGTTGTTGGTAGCAAAATCATACAAATCACAATCATTAACACAAATGATGGATCCATATTGTTTGACTTGAAAAAAAAAGAGATTATCTTGTAAATTTGAAAAAAAGAATGAAAATAAAAATAAAAATAAAGAATATATGAGAAACTTGAAGAGTCTTTATAATCTAGAGAAAATAAAAAACTTTGTAGATAAATATTTTTTTAATTAATCATCAAAATATTTTTTTAAATCAAATATTTTATCAATGAAATTTACAAAAATAAAAAACATATAATATCCTAAATAACTAATGTATAAGTTAATAACTATTTTAGATACCATACTTTTAAATATAATTTTCATATAAAATTTTTAAGAAATTTTCTTAATTTAAAATATTTATAAAAGTTTATTTTAATCTCTGTTCTTATTCAGTTTTTATTTTTAGTAAATATAATTTATTTAGATATTATTTAAAAATATTCTATCAATTTAAATTATAACAATAGTGAATTAAATATGATTTAAAGCTTACATGAAATAATTCCTTGTGTTAAAAAAAATAAATAACGGACACTAGAGTTAAAAGAAAAAAAACTGTAAAATAAAATTTATTTATCTCCCTTTATTCATCAATATGACGGGAAAGCTTAATCGTAACAGAAAATATGTTTTTTTTTCTTAAAAAAAATTAATTTTGATTACAAAAAATAATGCTAAATTACATTTTTAATTTATTAAATATTTTTAACATAATAATAAATTTTATATTTAATAATGATTGAAATATTTTATTTAAATAAAAAATTAAAATTTAATAACTTTGAAATACTTTATCCAACTAAATATTTAAACAAAAAATTAAAATAATTTAAATTTATGTATTTATCTTTTATATTAGTTGTGGGCGTCGCTGTTAAATAAATAAATAAAAACCAAGGCAATGCTCAAAAGTAAACAAATTAGAATAAAATCAAATAAACAGTGGTTTAAATTCATAAAATTATTTCCATTTGGTTTAATTAAAATAAAACAAAGCAATACATTGATTTACTGTTATATACAATTTTTTTTATAACTTATTTTTCATAGTTTATAAAATTATATTATTATTTATCAAATAAAATAATTATATTTTATCGTAATATAAAAAATGATAAAGAATATAAGAAAAATAGTTATTATATTATATTATCAAGTAAAGAAAAAAAGATTATTATATTATGTATTTTAAAGAAATGTTATAATCGGTTCATGAGAGGACGGTAAAAAAAATCATTAAAAAAAAGAATTATTACTCATATTTATTAAAAAAATATTAAAAAATCATTTAAAAGAAAAACAGTTTACTAAATCAGATCTAGAGTTCAAGAATTAATTACGTATTGAAAAAAGTGTTAACATCCTATCGTTACAAATATGCTTTACTCATAATTAATTAATCATATTAGTTATATTTTTAAATATTTATAAATAATTTAAAATTTAATTCAAAGAAATATTATGAATTTAAAATTTGTATAACCTATACTTATTAGATATTTATTAAAAATTATTTTAATTATTTACCATTCTTTAATTGTCATGCTTATCAATTATAAAATTCAGAAATAGTTGATTGACAACTCAAATATTCACACAACCCATTTTATTAGTATAATAATATTATTTTATATTTTATTATTTTTTAATGGTATTTTCGATTTATGGATTGTAAAAAAAATATCCCTCTAAAAAGTTTTATTATAAAATCATTATTAATAGATTATTTTAGTTAAATTCTAATTTTTTTTATATTGAAAAAATAAATTAAATAGTTATGGACAAATCAGATATTCATGTAACACCCCATTTTATTAATATAATAATATTATATAATATTTTATTAATTTTAGATGATATTTTGGATGGGTGAGTTTTCAAAAGGTTAAGTTTATCAATTATAATATTGATAATGGTTAGTTGTTGAATAAGAAAGAGTCTATGATCGAAATGGTATAAGAGCCTAACTACTTTTTAGAAAGGGTATGGTAGTAGAAATTATAAATAGAAAGTGAATAAGAAAAACTTTTAAACATGGATAATCAAACACCACTGTCAAGATCTGGTCCCGTTGGTCCATGTTAAACTCAACTCTTTATCTTCCCAAAATCATCTCAAAAACTCTTTCTTTTAAGATAGAAAACCTCATAGAGTATTCTTATGTCCCGGAAGATGCTTAGATCTTTGAGACTTACAATTTTCTTTTGAGTCCTTATAATATCTTTAGGAGACAAACATTCACCCTCAGATTTATCACTCGTCTTCTTTCTACCAGAAGACCTCATGTCAAGGAGTATGTCCAATCCTCCAGGATGGACCAGTGTGCCCTAGCGTCCACCACAGAAGAATAATATGTCAATATTGAGATCCCCAAAGATCTCATCAGGCATTGACAAACTGAGGGTTATACTCATCTTCATTACGGGGCTATCCGACTAGTCCTCTCCCTTCATGGAAGACGGGGATTGACTGTCTCAGCTAGAGTCTGTCTTAAACTCCAACTACCTCCGTTATGAGCATGTCGTTATCGGCACTGTTCTGACCACTCTTCATGCTGGAAGTGTAGTTCTCACTATATTTCCCAACTTTAACGTTAGTTTGAAGGATCCCACCATCTCTTAGAGATTAAAGGTTCAGATCCAGATCACCAAAGCTGAACAAGTGACTGATACACTATCAGCTACTCTCCATCATCAGATTATCTACAGGTTGCAAGATTATGCGATAAATATTGCGTTACCATTCTGTAAGAACGAAGCACTATTCATCTTGGCCAATGACCAAGATGAAACACCCTCCATAGTTCAAATCCCCAGAAATATCTCTTCACAAGAGCTTTACAAGCTTATTCTGATGCAATGGCTGACTAACTATGAAAAACTCCACAACAAACAGAAACTCATCCAGTTTATAGAAGCAACATTTAGAAGATCTGTAGATGGAACCGTCAGAACTATCTTCAAGAATCCAGAGGTTGTTCCAAGTTCGAGCACCTCCATATTCCAGTTGATGATGATAACGTCTATCACCAAGGAAAGCAAAATTCCCATGGCCAACGTGTGCCCTGATGGCAAACCTATCTTCACTGGCAAGATAGGGAGACACTTCATCTAGTATGCTGACCCAGACATGTGCGATTCTGACTGTGACTGTTGCGACCACAATGGGGACACTAGTGACGAGGATGATGATGACTCAGATGATGACTTCAAAGGAGGATCCTGCAAACCATCATTCACTCCTCCCAGGAGATTTGAACCTGAAAAAGACCCGTGAATAGGAATTCACCGACAAGAAAAGCCAAATCCCTTGTGGAAATATCAGCGATACACTGAGATCCTTAAAGAGTAAGACCTCTCCTTCTCTAATCAAGAAAGCTGTATAACCTTTTCCATGCCACCTCAGCCTGCTCTTGTAGCTCCTCCCATTCCATGCATGATGATCAACCCATCAGCTTACAAAGAAGAATTTCCTCCATTGGAAAGAAATGTTGATCCTGTGTACAAAACAACACCCAAGCCACATGTCGTTTGT